AAAAAAACATTTCGAAAGTTCAAAATTTCACAATGTTCGGGATTTTTAATGTCTATTTCTTGAAAATTTAAATAAAAAATATATAACTTCAAAACATTTGAAAAATAAAAAAAATGCAGAATTTTGAAATTAAAAAAACCGTAAAACCAAAAACTTATATGTGTAAATTTTTGGCTAAATAGTTTTTTTGCAATAACTTCAACCAATCCTAAAAGATACTGAAATTTTCAAGAAGAAAATTTTTTAAAGAAATTAATTTTTGAACTGTGAACAAAAAAAACTTTTGCAAACTCTAAATTAGAAACTCATTTTAATTAAATAAAAATTGTTTAAGATAACTTTATTTAGAGTTCGCAAAAAAATGCATTTCGTTGTTTAAAAATTGATATCTTAAAGTTCTGCTCAAAATTCATGACGGTAGTACCAGGGAGGAAATCGGACAAGAAGATATGTTTTTAGTGCTTAAAATCTCACACTAACGAGGTTAAGCCTTTCCCCTCATTCCATTTATATCAAAAAATACGTACACATACAGTGTGTCCTAGACCACCCATCCGCCCCCTCTAAAATTGAGGGAAATGTTTTTTTCTGAAAATCGCATATTTATAACCGACCAAATCAGGGATGCCCTCTCATTTGGTGGTAATTCCCCAGATTCAGATTCTGTGCATAAAAATACATAATTTCTATCGGAAAATATTTTCTAGAATGGACCTTTGGTTAAAACAATTGACAACCGGTCGGTTTAACCCACTTCCGCTCGAAATCGGTTTAAACCATATAAATCAAAGTTTCACACTTTATATAAAATTCACAAAAATTCAAAAAAAAATCAAAAAAAATCATCCAAATTTTCTACTTTTTGTTAATTTTTTTAGATGGGTTTTTGCACTTTTTTCCATATAAAGAGCTGTTTTCAAGAAAATTTCTTCTATTCAAATTTCTTAAATCAGTTTGCAGCTCTCAAGAAAAAAATGTTCGCGTATTTATTTCTTCCAGAAAATTTACATCAAAAACAAAGTAATTTTTCAAGCAACAGAAATAATGAAAAAATTTTCTTGTTGCTTAAGCACGAATTTCTTATGAAAAATAATGCGAGAGACCGTTAGCAACAAACTTTCAAAAAATCAACGCCAGCTTTTGTAAATTGCACTTCCTCGTAGCGAATGTCATGCATTAGTCACTTAAGAGTCTTGTACGGAAAAGTTACGTCTTAAATGACTTTGGGCTCCGTTTGTATGGAAGTCGTTCATGACTTTTTCATATAAATGGTAATTTCGTCGTTGGTATCATCTGCATGACTTGGTCATGCAGGGATCTTTAATGATATTCAAGCGACAGTATTTTGCAATGGACTTTTTATAAGTGACCGCTGCAAGACATTGTTTGTTATAAGTCTTTGATAGGAGTACACCTGCATAACATTGTCACCAGTGTCATTGTCAGCTATATGTCGTTTAGAATTCACAGCAAGTGCGACGCTGTCACTAAATCCTCATTAGTGACGATGTCACCGGTGACCATTTTCTGTACTGGGTTGTTATATCAAAAAAAAACACAAAAGCAGTCTCCAAAAAAAAAAAACAGAAATGCTCAAAAATCAACGCGATTTTGTAGCCGGTTGAAACTTGCTATTCACCATACTAAAGTTGAATGGGCTAAAAAACGGCATACCCGAAATTTTCTAGAAATTCTGAATAAAAGGTTGAAAATTTTGATGAAATTTTTTTAATTTTTGCGAACTTTATATTTAGTGTGAAACTTTGAATTATATGGTTCATATTATAGAATGAACTACATTTTCATAAATAAATAATGCAAAAAATTGTTCATGAAAATAATTATGAATATTATATGAGAGCAAAGTGTACACTTTCATTTGTCGCCTAGTGTATGTTTGTACGTATGGCTAGGCATCGACGAAGACAAGATGAAATTGCGCCTGGGCAAGACACTACCCCAAAATCTTCCACTTGCGAAAAATAACTATTGCCAGCTGGTTCTTTTATTTCGATAGGCAATCGAAAATCTTTTGATGAATAAAAATGACATTCTACAGCCAAGTATCCCATAATATCTTTCTAGGTGGCGATAAAATGTGACGGCATCGAAACGAATTTTCGAACAAATTCCATACTTAAATCGCACTGCCTATTCTATACAGATAACGAATATCAAAGAAGGTACCCACCAATATACAGTAATGATCATTGGCCCTATTAATAGAGATGATAGGGTATTGAAACAGAGTAAACGGAATCTTAAAGATCAACAATGGCCAAAGACTATCCTTGCCAAACGAGAGTATAAACAAAAAAATATTAAACCATTTCTAATTGTACACCGCTCAATAGTCACTTCTATTGAGCTTATTCTGGTAGTTGTGCAGACATATCACACATAAGAATAAAAAATAATTCATTAAAAAGTTATACTTACTTGTTCTGTTATGTCATTCAAATGAATTATTACGCAACTATCATACTGGTATACACCTGGAATATCCTGCGTATGAATAATGATCTCGTTACCATACCATAATCCAGTGATCTGTAAAAGAATACGAAAATATTCAATTGAGATCTAGTAATATCTTGATTGTGACGCAATAAAAGTTATTCTATATACATACTTATAAATCTTTAACTACATTCAATATAAGCACGCATTTTTGCAAACATACATACATATTTGTGTACATTAGGCATATGATTTTTTTTTCGTTTCTAAAATTTCATTTTTTCTTGTGGGCGAAATTATCGTATGTGCCACACAAAAGTAGTTTGTATATACATATCAAGCCTTAACCGCCAAAAATATGTAAGTGGTATATTTTCAAAATTTAAATTTTTTTGCAGAAATGCATCTACATTCATAGTACATGCATCAAAAAGAAATTTTTTGAAAATATGTCGCTTACATCTCTTTGGCGGTTAGGGCTTGATATGTAGCAAAAACAAATATTAACAAAATAATTTTAAAAAAATTGAAAAGCAGAAAAACGCTATCCTATAAAATTTGGTTTCGGGCATGTACGATAATCTCGTTCAAAGGGGTCGATATGTATAAATATATGGAAAATTCCATGTTAACCGAATCGTTTTTGCGAAAAATTATTATCTCGCTAGGGGGCGCCAGGGTCGGGATATTTTGAAAACCCGTAGTTATGGTCCGATTTGGTTCAAATTTGGCGTACTAGGACTAAATAATTAAGAGTTATAAGTTAAGCCTATTGGTATAATAAATAAAATCGTTTAAGATTACGGTCTTTTCAGTTTGAATGTGTACGTTGATCACGTTCGACATGATGGAAGTGTCCATTTGTATTAATTTTATATGTTTTTGTGAGTGCAAAATGTTTTTTTTTCTTGGAGTTCCCTGCGGCAACCTTTTGTACCAAATTTTCACAAAAACGTAATTTTTGTTGGTTTTGCATTATTCCTCATGCTCGCCTCATAGGTTTATTTAATTTTAGAAAAAGTCATATGGCTAATGTACGTACGTACTATATACCTACATTTGCATCCACAACATGCGAATACATACTCATAAACGAAAACAATCTTCATGCTTGTCATGTTGATGGCCGTTAAATGGACTCTTCGTTAATTGTATTATTAAATTTACGTAACCTTTTGTTGACTTTCTAAAAGAGTCAACTTTAGGGCACCAGAAAAGATTCGGTATGTGGAGTATGCATTTAAATGTGTACATACTATATACTCACATACTAATGGACATTAGACTGAGGCGGGGAAAAACTCACCGTCTTCTACCCTTTTAAGAGAAGTAACATAATTATTCCCTTTCTTCATTCTTCTTAAATGTACCCTATGTAAGTGAGTGTGAAATTTCCCTTATTATTACTTATTATTTCGTAAACCTTTTATTATTACATCAATGATTATTTATTGATTGATTGACATTAGATAGATGTGGGATATTTTTTATGCCCGTCAAATGGCGAAAAAAAAGATTCGCCACCGAGAACAGATAAGGAATAAGAAAGAATCGATTGTTTTTCTCTAGTAACTAAATGAATCATCGTATCATTTAATCAACTGTTCTGACTACAATTTTTTTAATAAAAAAAATTAGTCGGTTTTGTTTTTTTTCAACCTGCAAGCTCGAATAAGTGATATATGCATACATATGCATAGGTAAATATAATAGTCCTAGACGACTTGCTTAGTACAAAACTTAGAGCTTATTTGTCGTCTATTAAGATGAGCCGAGCATACGCTTCTTTGAAATCGTTGGAAATGCCCATTATTATAATATTACGGGCGCATACAGTGACTCAAAGAAGTATTCACATGTTGATTTTGTATACACAAGCACATTTGTGCATTAGTGTATTATATATAACTAGGCCCATCGGTCGAAGCCGTTTCCCCCGAATTTTCAAAGGGGCTTGGCTTTTTTGTTTTTAAATTAAACTACTATTTTACGCATTACGCATCGAAAGGGTGGAAAAAGTTTTTCAAATGACGAGGAGGTGATGGGGAGGTGAAGAAGTAGGGCAAGGAGCTGGTGGAACACTTTTTCAAGGCAAGCATGAAAAATAGCAATGAAAGGAATGGCGACTAATATTTTGAAGTCTACACAAGTTGGGGACACTTACTTACATACTATTTACTTTCTGAACGTGCCTCGAATGAGTTTTTCAATCGGTACCTACAAAACAAACACAATTTAAATAAAGAAGCCTAAAATTATACTACAAATATTCATTTAAGTATTCATGAGCAAATTTACATAAAAAATTATTATTTTTATTTGAATTTTACAGAGGGGATAAAATTATTATCAATAAAATTGCTGATGGAACCGGCAGTTAAACTTAAAAATAGAATTCATGTTTTAAACTTTGAAGGGCTAAAGATATATTTAAGCAATTCGCAAGGAAACATAAAAGTCATCTTATGAATTTTTACACTGTTAAAAAATAGTTCGTTGTGTTTTCAAATCTTCTAAATATTTATTAAACCGTTAAACACTTTAAGACTTACTCCACTTACGATACCTTGTGAACCACCTAAATATCTCCGACACAAGATAAGAGCAATAATTGTAAATGTCAGAGCGAGTTTTCTACAAAAAAAAATGGTTGGTAATGAAATTTTATTGCGAATAGTTATAGCCAGAAACCGCGTTTTTTATAACAATTGATTTGAATGTCTCGTGAACCTGAGGTGATGGATCAAATCTGTCTCCGGACAACCCTTTGAAAAAGTATAGCCTGGCCTTAGGATCTTGACTTTTGTCAAATCTAGTAGGCCTCTCATGAATGCATATCTCTCGATTTCTTATCTAAAAATATAATACTTATCATAACTAAACTACACTTATACATCTATTGACAACTTTTGCCTATTTATTTTTTTATTATTTAACTTTAATTATTTTTTTTTTTATAAAAATATAGTTTATTTTACAACAGAAACCATTTAAATCCAAGTTACAAGCTTTGTACAAACATTTAGAAAAAAATCATCAAAATTTGAAATTTTGTATTTAGATTTTTTTTTTTAATTTTTAGAAGTTTCATCAACATTTTTTATTCAGAAGTTTTAGAAAATTTTTGGTATGCAGTTTATAGCCCACTCAACAAATGGAAATTTGACAGGCTTGTGTATTTTCCTCCATATAAAAAAAAATCGTTGAACATACACTTGTGGTCAGCTAATTTAGTTAAGTGACATTTCGACTAGTTTTGGCCATTTTCCTTTTATTTATTTAATGTTAATATTTTGTTTCAAGCTTAGTATTATATATATCCAAAACCATGTAAATCCACATTTCAAACTTTGTACAAAAATTATAAAAATTCAACAAACTTTAGCAATTACACTCGAAAATTTCAAACTTTCTTTTCAAAATTTTTTTAGAAATATTTTAGGAATGCAGTTTTTTAGTCCATCAAATTTTAGTGCAAATTTACAGACGCTAGAAAATCGTGTAGATTTTTAACAGTCATTTAGCCGACGGTGTTGGGCATTTTCTTCCATATAAAGTATGCACGACAATTTCAGAAAAAAAACATTAAAAATTAATATGCTTTTCTATAAATTTCCACTAAAATTGAATGGACTATAAAACTGCATACCCGAAATTTTTTTAAAAATTCTGAATAAAAAGTTTGAAATTCTGAATAAAAAGTGTAAAAATTTTGATGAAATTTTGTTGAACTTTTTTTAATTCTTGCACAAAATTTGTTATTATTATGTCGGGCACTATTTTAAAGACTGATTTTGGTGGAAATTGCATGAAGGTTTTTTTTTTTAATAGAAGCCCTCAATACATAGGAAATGAATATTTATAATTCAAAAACCGCACTTGTTCAATATCCACAGAGTGTTGAGGCTTTATGTCCATACACAGCAATGAATTCGTATAAATGTTTCGATCCGTACTTGAAATCCCCTCTTCATAGCTTTGATACTGATTTAGGGCAAAGCAGCAAAAAATTCCAGAATTCCAGAATAAAAGAAAACAAATCAAAAATTTCGGCTGCATTTTATATAAATATATATATTTTTTAATGTTAATACGAAATTTAATTAAAACACTTGATTAACGTATTATTTTATGATTTTTGCGAAAGTCAAACGCAATAGCGCACACAACAACGTTTAAGCTCACAGCACAGTTTCAAACTGGTGAGGGCGGCTCATCACTTAAGCAGATCAGGAGCGATAAGCGATATTTTCTCCAGTAGCGTCGCTTAACATTTGATTTTGTTATTTTGCTGTTGTTGTACAGTATTTGTATAGTAGTTGTTGTTGCAATGTTTATTCTTCTTGATGTTACTAGCTATTGACATTAATAAAGAGGATGGTTGGGAGCTGCTACTATTATTATTCCAATAACACTAGCGACGAGCATATATGCTCTCGCATCTGGAAAGCACGGACTAATTTAAGCGCAGAAATTGCTGTTCATACATACAAACGTTCATCAGCGCATAAGTGCCGACATACACACATACATACATATTTACATATGTATACACAAACATACAGCATGTTGTGGCGTGTATGGCATCGGAATTGTGTAGATGTTATGATGAGTAGTGGGTCGAAGTATTATACAAATTGCATACCAATATAAATTGGAAGAGCTTCAAATGGTGAGCGTAGAGAGAAATTTACTACCCGCCTCCACAGAATTGAAATTGTCAATTAATTTTGCGGGTTCGCCAAAGGGGGCTGATGTTGCTGCCCTTTATACCGCTATAAATGGCGTTGACCGTATGTGATCTACTCGAATGGTCCAGTTTGTTAAATGCTTGTATGAATCATGCACACTGAGAAAGGCGAAGAGTTTCATACCCAATACAGTAGTTTTAAATTGTCTTCTTGGAAGTAATGCATATGTGGAGTTATAACTTTTGCTAAGTGTTTGGCCCAGCTTTTCCTCCACTTTGTATTTAACGAGAGTGCGTCGAGTGTACAAAGCTTGGAGTAGTTTACAGCCCTGCCTTTAACAAAAATCCTCTTTGCGATGATCGCAGCGATCTCTTTCAGGATCTCAAAGCAGTCTCAAAAATATTGAAATAGTCTGGAAGATTCCGAAATTCTTTTTTTTGCACTGAATAAATAGCCAGTATTTAGTATTTAACCAAGTCATAAGTACTAAGTGGTTTTGTATCCAGTATATAGTGAAGCCATAAATACTAAGTACTTTTTTATCCAGTATTTATTGCAGCCAAAGTCTCAAAGAACTTCTTACGTGCGTTTCGTTAGATGAAACTAACTAAATACTTTTAAACTAAGTATTTAGCGCTGTGAAAACAGGGACTTTTATTAAAAAAATCGTTATTTTTTTACTTTTCTTTAATTACTCCTCAAATAACAGTTATTTCTGATTTTTATTTTATAAATCCAATAAACAATTATTTTTGATTTTTATCTAAATAGTGTGCAAATAACAGTTATTTTTGATTTTAAATTATATGTCTTAGAAAACAGTTATCGAAGACTGTTATTTATAAAAGTCATAAATAAAAATCAGGCAGTGACTTTTACTTTTAATAGTCATCAATAGTCACTGACTTTTGTTTTTTAAATCACACTCATAAAAGTCAGTTGTATAAATCGTAGTAAACTTTTGTTCTCCAACACCTTCTTAACTGCGAAAAATTACACATGACTTTTATACGTATGACTTAAAAAATAAAAGTCGGTGACTGATTTATGTATATTGATGACTATTAAAAGTAAAAGTCACTTACTGATTTTTGTTGGTGACTTTTAAAGTAAAAGTCTTCGATAACTGTTATCTAAGACAGATAATATGAAAAAACAAAAATAACTACTATTTGCAGATTATTTAGATAAAAATCAAAAATAATTGTCATTTTGGATCTATAAAATAAAAATCAAAAGTAGTTGTTATTTTTTTTTTTATTTTGCAAATTGTATTGCAAATAAAAATTTATTTTCAAATTTGATTCTCGGTGAAAAAGAAATCGATTGGTAGGTATTAGTAGTGAATTTTTCAATAACAGTTTTCATCAATAACTGTTTTGCTCGGTCCCTGTGTGAAAATAAGCATAGCACTAGCATAGCAGTTGCCATCTGTAATATCGTTTCGGCAACTAGCAACGCAACTGAGCTTCGGTTGCTATCGATAATCGACCCATTAGTAAATACAATTTTGCGCATCACAGTTATGCTCAATCGAGTGCCGTAGTCCCTCTGCGAAAGAATAATACGGAAATTGTGGAACCCACAGCTGTCGCGAATGAATTTAACAATCATTTCACCACATTAAGTCAAAAGGTTAGTTCCACACGCTTTCCGGGTTGTTTCGAAACTGTTAAAATTCTATACCCAACATATGTGCTCTCTTTTTTTAAACTTGGAAGATTTGAATTTGAAACTAAAATTAGTTTGGTCACATATGTAGTCTAAAAAGTTTAAAATTAAAACCGAAATTTTTAACCGTGTATGATATTGAGCCATTTTTTTTAAGTCTGACGGATTTCGTAAAAAAAGTTATATCATATCTCCGATTCGCTTAAAATTTTTTTATGGGTTCTATACATGAAATAAGCTAACATGTATTCGAGGAAATTCTTTCTTTGGAGATGTGATCTGTCAAAGCTTTGATTTTTTCGTGATTCAGACTAATCATGTACTTCTTCAAATCGTTATATATCGGGTTCTGCTCATCGTAGAGACATCATCTTAACGTCGTTTTAAAGCTAAAGAAATGGGCTTGACATTTCTATGCATAAGATGGTCATGATTGTCCCAAAGCCAACTTAGCTATTAATAGTTTAACTTTTTGAAGTTGATTTACATAGTGAAGACCAGTAAATTAGGGATTAAAAATAACACCATCGTAATCCTTGTCTCTATAAAAAAAAACATGGTTCAAAAAAATTGGTGTTTTTCAAGAACTATTTTTAAAATTTTATTTTTTTCTTTATGACGAGATGGTTCGTTTTTTTGTGAGAATAGCAATTTTTTGTAATTTGTTGTGGCGATTGTAGGAATAAAGTTAGCAAAACGCAGATTCGATATATTTTTGAAGCGAACCGAAAGTGTGACACTAAATTTAGTGTCCGATATGAAAAAGAATGACTCTATTGTAAATGTAACGTTGCCAGTGAAATAATGGGCCATACACCTTTGTTAGATTTCCCTTTATTTTATCTACGTCTGATACAAATTCTAGTACTACTTACACCACTATGTATCTATGTACATTAAAAAATTGTTTATAAAAATATTAAATTTCCATTTCGAGTTAAACGTTCATTCTTAATTATGTAGCATTTTGTATGGAAAAATTAATTTTGTCCATTATCCAATCCACATATTTTTCGACGCGCACATATACGCCCGGTTTATTTGCGTAGCCGCAGTGTTGTCCCCATGAAATTATGCCATACAGTGTTTCACCATCTAAAAGTAAAAAAAAAATGTAATTTTAAATTAGAACACTAGTTATTTTATCTAAATATTGTATGTGTGTAAATTGGGGTGCAAAAAATGGAGCATTTCCACCGGAATTGTAAAATTTATTATACTTTAAGACTTTCTTATATTCGGAAAAATATATAGTAAGATTTCCGTGAGCTAGAACGATTTGAAATTACCTCCAAAAATTAAATTTTTTTTTTGATGCCGCTGATAAAATTTTTAAACATTTTATGCAGACTTTTTAAGCTACAATTCTTTTATCATAGTGGATTAAAAAAATTTTAGCTAATTTTATTCATAAAAACTCAATTTTTGTAGGTATTTTCAAACATGTGCAGCTTACGTAAAGCTTCGTTTTTTCGAAATATTTAGACAGGAGTCCCGGCATATAATCAGTTTTTCATTTCCTGTGGAAAAACAGTACCGATTTTTTATTTTTATTTTATAGAGAGTGATGCACTCTACTCGATATAACAAAGGATTTATGTATGCATACCCTCGTCATGACAAATCAGCGGCCCACCAGAATCGCCATCACAAGCATCCACGCTCTCGTCCATATAACCGGCACAGAACATGCCTTCAGTCAAGCTGGCGCCATAAACATGAGGCTGCTTACAAACATCATCGGACAGTATAGGCAATTCAGCGGCACGTAAAATATTAGAAGGAGCTAATAGAGATTGAAATTTAAAATAATAATCATTTATATTGCATTGCATATAATTTTTGTAGCAATAAAAAGGTAAACATACTTGAAACACCGGATTTAATAGAGCCCCAGCCGGAAATTGTG